TAGGAAGGAAGGAAGGAAGGAAGGAAGGAAGGAAGGAAGGAAGGAGAAAGAAAGAGAAAGAAACCCTTAAATCCTACCTGGAACACATTAGGCCCATTCTGTTGGTTCAGAAAATTTTGGACTCCAGTTGAAATGGCAAAGTCACTCCTTTTCCTCCCCTTATTTAGTGAAGGATCCTAGCCTTCTACTTTCAATTGTTGAAGTTCAGCTCCTACCCCAGTTATGCTTACCCTGGACCAAGTTTGTCCCTCTATGGTTGCCACCCTAAGCTTTCTCAGATTTTTTTTTTAAACTGTTGCTCTCTCAGAAAAACATTAGCTCCTTTACCTCACCAAATTCATGAAGATTTAGTAGAGACTTTTAGTGAATCTGAAACTGGACATTGTTCCTATCTTTAAAAAATGGTTGTTTGGAGAAGCAACTCATATTAGAGAAAAGGAAAAGGAATTAGAGGTATTTGTTAATTTGCTTTCATTAATCATTAAGAACTTAGTATGAATTTTTATCTTACTCATGGCCTTTATATGAGCAATTAAAATCATATTGAAGTGTCATATTGTAGCATGGAGCATGGGGTTGGGTTTTTTTCCTTGTGAATTCAAAGAATGAAATACACAGACACGAGGGTAATACCAAATTAACAGGATTTATTGGAGTAATAAAAAAGAACAGAGCTTCCAAAGGGGAGGAGTCCCAGGAGAGGGATACCAAAGAATGGCTGTTGTCTAAGGGTTTACATGGGTCTGTAAGGGTTAATGGAGCTAGCCCCCTCCCCAATCCTGGATAAGACACTTAATGTCTATGAAACTCTTCACTTGCTCTTTGGTCCAATCAGATGACTGAGTCACTCCTACCCGTGGCGCCCTCCCCCCTTGTTTTGATGGGGGTCTGGGTACCAGATAGCAGGCTGGGTAGTATCAGTTTTTTTCTTTTATTTTTTCTTTCTTTTTTTTTTTTTGACTACACAGGAGTCAACCTGACCTTGATGAGTCCTCTTTTGTGTCTGTATTTTCTCATCCCTGCTGAATAGAAACCTGACCTGAAGGAGCCCAAGTTTCCTGCCTGTTCACTTTAACCCTTTCTCCTTCTTCAACATTTAAGTACATTTAAGATTCATAGGGGGAGCAAGGCATCATATCACAGCAGCTAGCATAAGTAGATTGTACTTAAGCAAATGAAAGCATGAAATAAGAAAAGGGAAAGAGCAGAAGGAGGCAGGGAGAGAAGGAAGAAAGAGCATGTTATCTTGGAGGGCAGCCTCCCAAGACTGAATGGATAACATGAGACTGATTAGGGGCTCTCAGCCTCAACACTAATGATGTTTTGAAACAATGCTTCTTTTTTGGGGGGTGCTTTCTTGTTCACTGTTCAGCAGTATTCCTTCCCACTACCCACTAGATTCCAGTTCCAGCCCCCCAAGTGGTGCTGGGGATGATTCTTCCAGGTGACAAATATCTGTTCCTTGGGAGGTGAGGGCGCGACAAAATTGATCCTATTTTTGTGGGGGTGGTATAACCCAATTGGTATAACCAAAAATGTTTAATAAGATCATATGATTTTATTCCAGTATCCCCATTGCAGATATGGCTTGCTAGAATAATGTTAGTGAATTCTCAGGGAACTTTTGCGTATGTGTTGAAAACGCTGGTGCAGAATTGGTTTAACTATATCCTTGGGATTTAGTACAGCATCATCAGTGCATTCAAGACCCTCTTTTGTCTCCTTACCGGTCTTTACTTCCTGCCCATTATTCTCCTCCAGAAGGCAACTAGTACAATGTTTAACTCATATGTCCTTTGAAAAAATGTCATGTTTAGTGAAATCATGCAAGAAATACTCAATAACCTATATTTAGATCTATCTGGATTACTCTATGTACAGTTTGCTATTTTTAGATAATTGTACAAAAGTTTCATAGTATATACCTTTATATCAGTTTGTATTATGTTGCCAATAACACAATACCACAGACTAATTAAGGTATGAAAAAGAGGTTTGTTTGGCTCATGCTTCTGGTTCAAGGTCAGGAAACCACAACTGGTGACGGCAGGGTCCTGAGGTGACACAGAGCATCACGTGTGTGACCGTGTGTGTGTGTGTGTGTGTGTGTGTGTGTATGTGTGTGTGCATGTGTGTGTTCTCTTCTTGCTCCTTCTTATAAATTCACCAAGATTCCGTTCTAAGGGCTCCACCCGCACAAATTTATCCAATTCTAATCTCTCCCAAAGGCTCACCTCTAATATACCTTAGGTAGATTAAGTTTTCACCCTCTTACTATTTCACATTTGGGATTAAATTCCAACACGTGAAGTTTTGGGGAACCCATTGAAACCATATCAAAACCATAGCAGCTTCTATCTCATTTTACTAATCCTTTTCCTGAGTGATGGGCATTATTTCTAACATACCACAGCTAGGAATATCCAGGTATGTTTTCTTATAGAACTGGGTATGTGTACACCTGAGATATATGCATCCAGAAACTAATTGCCAGATCATAGAACATTCTCATTCTCCCCCAACAATGTTAGATTACTTTTTAGAACCACTGGACTAGTTTATCTTCCCTCCAATAGTCTCTAATATTTTCTGTCATTACCATATCCTCTCCAGCACTTTGTATTATTTAGAATTCTAATTTTTTCATTCTAGTAGGTAACATTGAATCTCATAAATGTTTAAAGTTTCCTTTCTTTTGTTGCAAATGGTACTGAGCTTTATATATAGACTGGCTAAACAGCTGGGATTAACTGACCACATTCTTTATTGCATTATTTTCTTGTCAATTTGCAGGAGTTTGATTTCTTTTGAAAGGCATATTTCAGATTTTAATTTCCTTTGGCTTTAGATTTTGCAAATATCTTCTTTAGTCTTCTAATTTTTTCTAGGGTATCCTTCATTGAATGGTAGCTCCTTCATTTTGTTTTAGTTGTAGATGGATACAATATCTTTATTTATTTTTATGTGGTGATGAGGATCAAACTCAGTGCCTCTACCACTGAGCTATAGCCCCAGCCCTAGCTCCTTAATTTTGCTGAAGCTGAATTCATCAATTTTGACACTGGGATTTGAGAATCTTCATGTTCAGATGAAAGTTCAGATGTAGTCAAAGCATGAATAAGTCCTCTGTTTGTTGTGAAAACCCCGAAATATGAATTTTTGAAAACCATGTGATCTTGCTCTTCCTCCCTTCCTTTTTGTTAGAGAATCAATCCCGAGAATCCCTCTTTGGTACCTGTGATTGACATTTAGTACTTGTATTCGTCTACTAGGGCTGCCATAACCAAGTATCAGAGACTGAATAGCATAAACAACAGAAATTTATTTTCTCAAGGCTAAGGATAGAGGTACTCTACCAAGATTGATCTCATCAAGATGATGGCAGAGTAGATTTCTTCTGTGGCATTTCTCCTTGGCTTGTAGATGGCTGTTTTCACTTGGTTTTCCTTACTCTGTGTTGTCTGGCTCCAAATCTCTTCTCAAGAGGACATGATCATAATTGGATTAGAATCCCCTCCAGTGACATTTCTTAACCACAGTTACCACATTGGAGATCCCATTTCCAAATATAGCCAGATGCTGTAGTACTGGGAATTAGGACGTCAGCATATAAATTTGGGGGCAACAAGGTGGTCCATAAAAGTCTATGCTTTCACCTATAGTCATGGTGGTGGAACACATATGTGATTAACACAGATTTCACTGTCATAGTTTCTCAAGAACCTTTCCACTTTTGATAAATTTAGAATGATTTTAATGATGTTCCTTGCTGCGGTTGGGATGTGAGGTGTCCCCCAAAAGCTCACGTGTGAGACAATACAGGAAGGTTCAGAGGAGAAATGACTGTGTTCTAAGAGTCTTAAACCAATCAGTGATTTAATCCCCTGATATGGGTTAACTGAGTGGTAACTAAGGTGGTAGGGTGTGACTGGAGGAGGTGGGATTTGGGACGTGGCTTTGGGGTATATGTTTTGTATCTGGAAAGTAGAGTCTCTCTCTCTCTGTTTTCTGATCACAATGTGAGCTGCTTCTCTCTGCCACGCTCTTCCACCGTGACGTTCAGCCTCTTCTCAAGCCCAGAGGAATGGAGCCAGCCTTCTATGGACTA